GGCGAGGGGAGGACAGGAGGAAAGGGGGAGAGAAAGGGGGTATGTAAATGTACAGACACAGGCAGAGTGAGGGGGTGAAAGAAAGAGAGAAAAAGAAGAAGAAAAAGAGAGACAGAGCAGCTGGATTGCCATGTAAATAGCTGTGTAGATAGGTAGGGTTGGGCTTGGTGCCAGAGGCTCTACAAAGGGCTCTGAACATCTGTTTGAGGGTAGATTCCTGCTCTGTGTTGTTGTAAGAATAATGGTCTCGCTCTGAGGGCCTGTTCCCTCATCAGACTGGATCATGATCATGCATATACACTCTCTAACGTCAGACCACAGCCCTGCAGAGCAGAGAAACACAAGTCAGGCATTTATTGATGTTATAACACCACAACTCAGTCATCAGCGGAGATGGACAGGTGGAACATCGCTCACATTGCCAGGGCTCTTTTTTTTTGCTGCAAGTCAGGGTCAATATGAGACAGCAATTAATTTCACTCATGAGCTTGCATCAAATCCAAGAGGTGTAAATTAATTGATGAATCAGTGGCAGTGAAAAAAGAACCAGAACATCAAAAGTTTAAAAACACTATTATGTCAGGGATTAGAGGTTGACACCATGAAACACAGACTTTAATGTTCCAGTTTTAGCCAGACAGCTGATGAAAACAGAAAAACCCCAAGTTTGGCCTACGTATAATTAACTGCTAAACCAAAGTGGAGACAAACTTAAAATATTCCTACCCAGCGTTTCCCATGGAGTGAAAAAAAATGGGACATCTCTGTTTGTGTGTCATGACAAGGATCTTTTTCCCTCTCCAAGAACATATGCAAGTAATTTGTACAACAAATGTTGGTTTTAGACCGTGTTCCTTGCATACTAGTGGCTTCTCAAACCAGGGGGGCTCCATTCTTTAGCGCTTGAAAGCAAAGCAAACAAATTAATTAACACTATCGTTACATTGGGTGGCCAAGGAAAGCAAGCGCTGAAATGTTACACCATTACCTAAATTCGCATGCATCTGTCTGTGTCTTACCCCTCCTCCTTCCCATCCCAGCCTGCGTCCCCTCCCGCCCCTGCCCCAGCGCACAAGGCGCCCTTGAACAAGGCCGAAGGACCACCTGCGTGAAAGAGGAGACCCTCTCTGTTATGTCTCTGCTAGGGAATGAAATAACACGGAATCCAGCTCTGCAAATAACTCACAGTGAAGATCATTTTCCACATGGTGCTTGACAAAAGGTAAAATAAGAACAGATGATGTCCTCTCTCCCAACTCTACAGCCTCAGTTCTTCGTTTTTTACACTTTGTTGTGCTGCTTCCCCCCGACCAGGAGACGCAGGGGTTTGGCCTGTAGTGGCCTTGTTAACCAGCTGGTTTGAAATACAAGGGCTCATTGCTAATAGCCACTGACATTGAGTCAGCCATTTTTTCATGCCCTCAGTTGGCCGGGGGTTAAGAGGGGTTCGAGGAACCTGATCCCAGATCTGATGATTACATGTGAGCCGTCAGGAGCCAGCGGGAGGCCTTTTTTCTAAACTGGGCATTAATCAGAGGAGAGGGAGACTGAAACTGGCTCCACTTTAAACAGTATGACATATGTCGAAGATATTTTGAGCTTTTTGTTGAGGAATTCAGACAAACACAATGCAACAACACAGAACATAAACTTAAAGGATTTGTTTATATGTAAAAACGACTATCATATCTGCAGTAAAAATAAGAAGCTACATCCAGCAGCAGCCTCGCAATGCTTAGCATCAAGACTTTAACTAGGGAAAATAGGTTACATACAAGCAAAAAATTAAACTCCTAGCACATCTAGAGTTAACTAATAACAAGGACAATTTCATTGAGGAGCAGAGCTAGCTGTTTCCCAGTGTTTCCAGTTTGTATGCTAAGCTAAGTGGCTGTCTGCTCATAATCCCCAACCTGACATCAAACATGGTATCATTTTTTTGATATTACTTGGCAAGAACGCATATTTCCCAAAAATGTTGCACATTTCTGTTAATTCAACAATAGTCCTGCCAAATACAGACAGCGCCTCCAGCTGGCTCCATAATTGAATCAAACAAATCTCAGTCTGTTAAATATATCAGCTTTATTTGTGCGAGCAGACCTTTGCTTGCCCCTCTAAAGAGGACACATTTGAGGTTTGTCTAATCCAAATAAACAGGTAAGGCTCTTATTAGCCTCCAATTCCTGTTGCAAGTGTAACTTCATTTTCAATTTGGACTCTCCCGCTGTGACTCATGGGAGAGCGACTTCAAAGCGGCAGCCTATGCACTTGAGGTCATTATCTTCATTTCTATATCCTCTGCAGGTTCTCAGCATATGGGAACATTTTAACTCAGGATTTTTTTGTGTGTATGTGTGTGTGTGTGTGTGTGTGTGTGTGTGTGTGTGTGTGTATGCAGCTATAAATCTGCCATGTCAACTATAAAATATAGCTGACCAGCAACAGATGTAGCTCTAATAGCTACCAAAAAAAATGAAATCAAAATTTACCACCTTTCAATTATTGTTCTTTCACTTAATAGTCTGTGAGATTGACTTCAGCTTTGTGCACAGTAGATGGACAGTCAGTGAAAGTCTGACCATGCTCATAACAGATAGAAGAAAAGGGGGGGGGGAGGTTGGGGTGTTTCCTTTTAATTTTCTATTACTCTGTTCTACTTGCTCGATCTCTTTCTATCCTTCTCCTCCTCTGTCTTTTCTTTAATCCCTCTCCTTCTACCCTTTTTGCTGAGACGAATCCTCCTTTCATCATCCTCTGCAGTGAGGGCCCTGCTCTCTGTTCGCACAAAGCCTGACCATCGCTGACTCCTCATCAACCCCTTCGCCCAATTCATCAAGCGGAGGCCCATGGGCATTCATCACCCCCTCCACCTTTCATATCCCGCACCAGCTGAAAGCCACTGTCCCTGTTCTGACTTCAATGCAGCCGTGACACACCCCTAAGATTTATTGTAGCATAATTAGTAGCAGTGAAAAAGGCCTGCATGCTTTTCGAGGGTCAGTCAAACCGTCACATCTGCTTCTAAATAAATCGCACAAAGTTGATGAATTAGCTGAAAACAAGAAGCAATGAAAATTCATCAAAGCCAGATAATGACATCAAAACAATCATACACACTCTGGGTCATTTTAATGTACTATTTCTCACCATTCATGGAAGCTAGACACAGTCATAAATCCCATCTCCCTACAGGGAAGCTGCTGCCGTTCTGCTGCTTGTGATGAGCAGCTCTGAGGTGAGAACTCCCCCTCAGGACGGGGGTTTCCAAAAACATCTCAAAGGAGGTCTAAAATAACATGCCTAATAGTTAAACAGTGTTATTGATGTAATCATGCCCTCCCCCTCGCTCCCGCCCGCCTTGCTGTCACTGATATCTCAAGAACAGTGAACTAATTAAAACACTCCTGCTGTTTGTTTTCATTACAGTCCTCACACAGAAATCTTCACTAAACAGTTGGGTTTTTTCCTTCAAAGCCACACGTTAAGACATGTTGTCCAATTGAGCACAGAGGAGATGCAAAATCTCCATTCAATCATAAATTACACCTATTATTCATTATTCCCGTTGTGGCTTTCCCTCTGTTCTCTTTCATGTGCATGATAGCACAGATCACCAAGCACCTGAAATACCAAAATGTCTGACATCAGGGGAGAAGGTCTGGCCTCAGCAGCCAGAAGGAGGAGGAGAGGGGAATTTGCAAGTGAGTGGAGAGATTAACTAAGTACATCTACTCTTGTGATGTTGAGGTACTTTTACTTTACTTAAGCAGGCTATTCAAATGGTATTTCATCTTTTCTTCACCAGGACTTTGGGGGAAACGTTTACTTCTGTAATGACTACATACAAAATTTGGTTCAATAAAAATTGCATTACAAGTTTAAACAATTCTTCTAAACTAATCTTTATTTACAGATTCTATAGTTATAGGTATAGTATGAGAAGTACTCTGATTTCCATTTGGAGTACATTAGTCTTAATGGTATTGACCAATCACTTATTAGCAGGTGTGTGGAGAGCAAAAGCAGACTGGACGCAATCCACAATAAGTGTACATCCTGGCTCCCTGGGGTAATCTGATGAACGCTTGAAAACAGATTAATGCATGCAAGTGCAGCTAATGAATCGTTTTACATCATTGGCGTCCCATTGATGACGGTCACCATGCTGAAAATGCTGTCTCAACCTACCACTGTCAGCCTACAACAGGCTAAGAGCTGGAGCTGGGGTGGGTTTTAAGCCCCTTGACAAACTGTTACATTGCGCCCGCCTGTCTATCAGGTCAGCGACACCTCTTACTGTAATAAAGCTTATCCTTCATACAATCAGGATAAGGCTGTGAACATGTTAATCTCTGTTGTAAAAATGTGCTTTTTTGAATGTGGTGTGTATGTGACTTCTGGTGCTTCTGCAGCCAGCCTCAAGCAGACACTAGACAAACTGCAGGATTTTGCACTTCCACATCTGTCTTATTTTTCATCACCGGAGGTTGCTGCTTGATTGCAATCAGTTCATTCTTTGCTTAACGAGTCCTTCATACGATAGTTTGAGTGCAGAATTTTTATTTGTAGTAATGCAACACTAATAAGGATCTGAATACTTACTCAACCCTCATCCACATCTATTTAACTATCGAACAACTAATAAACTTATTTGTTTCTTTACATGGTGTGTGGTGCTTTTGCTCTTGTTTCATTACATTATCACAAAGCAGAAGTTTAGTGGAGAAGCAGCAGCTTTATCCACACATTGCAAAAGTCATGGGAAATAAAAGAAAATCCAAAATGAAAATTGCAAATATTTATTTTTATAGCATTATCTAAGTCACTGTTATTAAAGCACTTCTGAAGACTCCAAAAGTTCTTCCAGTCTCTGCACCAGTCAGATCTGATACTACACGTCATCAGTATTTGGATTTTCCCTATTCTCCCCTCCTTGGGCAGGAGTACAAGCGGTTAAGCTGCTGTTTGCTGGAGCACATTGCAAACGTTATGCAGAGGGGCGAGGAAGCACCTGCTTCCAACAAGGAGGTGGAGAAAATGCTCTCATGAAAACGCCCAACTCCAGAGGTTGGCACAGACACTTGTGCAGGAGGTTGGATGGCTCTGAGATTATGCACAGACTATTTTGATAATCTTGATTGGAGAAAGATCGCTTGATGCTGTGTACTTTTTTTTTTTTTTTTTTTTACATTTTGTTTCTAGAAGAAGCTGTGGTGTGACTAAAAAGCAGTCAGAGTAAGTTTTTGAGTTAATTCGTGTTGGAGTTCTTTCAGGTTATGATAGGTGCGCTTTTGGCGTTTGTCAACTGAACAATGATATTTCCATCTGTGTCTGTGTCGCATGTTAATGCACCACTTACTGTTGCCAGAGTCCCCTGCCCCTGGATTGGCGATGTGTTTTTATCACACAGCCTTGGGGCGTTATCAGGAGTGCAGAACCTTTGAGAAGACGCCTCTGGACTTGGATTTTCTTGGATTTGGGAGACAGATCCAGCTTCCTGAGAGAGCATTGACAGAGGCGCGTAGACAGCGGCATCATCGGTTATAAAAGTTGGTTTAGAAAGTACACTTTCTGTAAGGAAACTGATGCGCGTAAGAAGGGATGCCAGCCAGGCGTGGCTTGTGCTTGAATATCCAATGTGAGAATGCGTGGGGAGTATGTATATAATAGAGGCTTTCCTTTTGATAATCATAGATATCAAAGTGATCATTGTAGCAAAGGACGATCAATAAAGTGAGAGGACGCTGCTGATTGGGGGAGCACCGCGCGCTGGGTACGCTTTGTGCGTGCATGGACCGGACTTGTCTAACTTTTCTTTTTTTAACTACTTGAGTCACCATAGTCTTCATTTCAAATGCCGTCGCTTAATTTAACAGCTGTGCACACAATGGCAGAAGTCGGGAGTTTTCTGGGGACAATCGACCTGGATTTACAAAGCTTTCCTGCACTCGGAAATATGCCCCTGCCGGAGTCTCCAGTGGGCTTGAATGAGCGTCTGGGGCAGATTGAAGGGAGGCTGCAGCGGGGGTCGCCAACGGATTTCGGGCACCTGAAAGGGATCCTGAGGCGGCGACAGCTCTACTGCAGGACCGGCTTCCAGCTGGAGATATTCCCAAATGGGACTGTGTACGGGACGAGACAGGACCACAGCAGATTTGGTGAGGGTATTTCTTTAAATTCAACTTTTATTTACTGAAAAAAGTCTTATTATTTCATCACATTATGCCAAGTTATGGGCTTTAATATTTTTGACTAGAACGAAATGTATTATTTTGACGACACAATTTGTAAGGTCAAATGAAGGTATTGAAGAATGGCTTCAGAAAGAACACAGGCCAATTAAACAACGTGATGACAATTGTTAAATTGAGGTCAATGTTTTATATAGCTATACATTTGAATAGGCTTATTTACGCACGACACTCTGAAACTTGCTGTGAAGTTTGTTTATTTAAGTGGCTTTTTCCTGCCACACATCCCCAGTGAATAGTCTCTCGTGCGTCACTCACCTGGCGCGTAGGGAAGAAGAGCAACACACCTTTCTATGGCAATCCCGCTGCGCGTGGGGGGGGGGGCGGGGGCAGGTGTCTCTCCTCCACCACAAACAAGCAGCGCGTGCACGTCTCAAGGTCACGCGCGCCTGGGCTAGTTGAACTTTTGGTTTCATCATTTAAAGAGGAGCAAGGTGCGGCTCGCGCGAGAGATAAACAAATGAGGTCAGAAGGCAGATACGCACATGTGTCGCGCCTCAGTTCAACGCGGTCATCTCACAGGTAGGCTACCTGTGTCGCTGCGGAGTAACACTTCATTAAAGCAGGACCTCTGCACAGGGAGGGTCTAACGTTTCAACTAGAGCCAAAACAAGCCGGTAGGGATGGGTGGTCCGCGTGTTTGTTTCTGGCTTCACTTTCCTTTTAAATTAAACGTCTTTGTCTAAGGGACATGGCTTTGATTAGAGGGATATGAAACACACTCTTCACCCCACAAAAATTAGAGGGATGTTCTGTGTCATCCTCTGGCATCAGATGAGGTCGTGGAGATGGGGACCAGGTGGCTGCACGCTGGCCTCTGCCAGTCAGTGCCGCCAGCTGGATCCTCTCTGACTAACCTCCGCAGCACAGCAGACTTTTAATTTCACCGGTTGTTCCCCTGCCTTTGAAGTATACAAGTTCACTTTACTGTAACTTCCTGTGACTCAGCAGCCCACCAAACAACAGCCATGTCACAGCTTCACAAAAGTCACTTCCATGTCTGTTTTTGCAGTTGTGAAGTCCCAGAGTCAGGATGAACACGTTTAAGATACAACAACCGACAATGATGAACATTTTGGGATATATGTTCTTGAACAAATTTTGGAAAACGAGACAGAAAAGCAAATAAATATTTATCAGGACATTGGTATTTCTGCAATGAAAACATGTCATTTGATTGCATTGAATGAGCAATTTGTTTCTGGTAATGCTGATTTTCTTTCTAACATTAAAATAATTCTGACATAAAAGGCACAGTGTGGGCCCAAAAACAGATAAATAAGAGTGTAAATTGCAAAAATGAAGTCATACTATATATTTTTCTATTACAGAATGAATATGCAGTCTTTCTGTAAAAATGGATGTGCAATGCACAATGTAGGAAAGAATATAAAGATTTTTAGAGCTAATTTAGGAGTGAAGCAATATATAGGACATATTTTGTTAATTCTTCTGTCACATAAATGGAGGCCACTTGCTGTGTTTGTATGTTTTTTCACTTTCCTGACTGGTTTTCGTTGCATTTTGTGTGTTTGTGTATGGTTTGGCTTCAGGCATCCTGGAGTTCATCAGTCTGGCAGTGGGTCTGGTCAGCATCAGAGGGGTGGACGCTGGACTGTACCTCGGCATGAATGAAAAAGGAGAGCTCTTTGGGTCGGTGAGTCAAAAGAAAATTTATTAATTCACACACCTGCCCATTCACAAGAAGTCTGACCCCTGATACAAGTGACATGAGAAAAAAATGCTCTTTTATTAAACTACACCTAGTACTGAGCTATCTCAAAGAGAAGAGAATACATTTTCAATAGCAATGTCAGAACCAGTTTGTTATCAACGTTCCCATACAGAGCAGATGGGAAAACCACAGCGAGACAAAACAAGTGTGTTTTTCTTTTTTAGAGTCTAACACTCTCGTTCTCACAGTTTCTTCTCTTGCTGTTTTTAATGGTACAGACAGAAAAGAAATAAAAAAAAGAGGACAAATCCAATTTATGATGATGTCTGTGACTAAAAGCAGCAGAAAGACTGAATAATAATAAGTAATAAAGATCCCTACATATGTTTTTTGAGAATCCAGGAAAAGTCAATTTCACAGCTTTAGAGAGCAAACTTAACCTCTTCATTTATGTAGAAATATTTACATTCTTTCCCAAAGTGCAGAAAGGAAAGTTTTCAGTCACTTTGGATGTGTTTTGTGGGTGAATGTGATGTTTATCCAATTTAGGAAACATTTAGTTATTTTTTGTTTTCTTAGATTTTGTCTGTCATGTGGTTTGTTGAGACAAAGGGAGAGGAAGGGAAATAGATACAAAGAAGGGGAAGTCTGTGAGGGTAACCTGTATCAGGTGTCCCTGGGCTTTACCTGGGGGCCTCTCAGGCTCAGACCCCCCCCCCCCCCTGAACATTTTCGAACAGAGAGGCTACTTTTTAAACACGGCCATTATGTTGAAAGTGCAGATATTATTACTGCGTGCTATCAGAGTCTGGCATCCTGGAGCTTTGACCCTGAGGGGAGGTGGGCGTTCAGTGGAGGGAGGAGGCTGTGATTTGGGGTGGGGGGGGTTGGTTAATTGCACACCTGACAGAGTCACCTGACTGACAGAGGAAGTATAGACATGTCTGTCTGAGGCTGAGGGGCCAGGGGGCGGAGGTGGAGGGGGAAGAGAGGAGAGGAGGGGAAGGAGACAGGTAGAAGGCTGCTTCCGTCCCACAATCGCAAGACCGCAAGCTTTTGATCCGATGAGGTGTGTGTCGTGTGTGTCGGTGTGTGTGTCGGTGTGTGTGTCGGTGTGTGTGTGTATTAGAATAGAGCTGGCCCAGTCATGTGCCCTCTGGGCTGTGTTTACAGACAACAGCTTCACCACATAGCCCCAGCCAAGCACAGCCTGACAGCCAATCAACAAAATTGCTGCGGGAATTAAAGAGGAGACTCTTGTAAAAACACTATAGTGTGTGTTATTAAAGGCAAGTACCGACTGATAGCCACGAAGAGAAGTTATGTCCTCTAATCCAAACAAAAAAATGGTGTCCCTAAAGAAATAGGTGATAGTAACACCTTTAGAAAAATTGTACAGATTGGGCTCCCGGTCCTTTGTGATGGTCCCCTGGTCCTCTCAGGTTTTGGCACAAAAGCAGCTCTTACCCCAGTGTGTCTCACTGTTCTCACACACTCACTCAGCCAGCACACTCTCACCTGCTGAACCCGCAGCCATCGCTCATGCTGGGCTGTCAGGGAAGGCTTTGGGAGCCTCTCTGTATGTGTGTGTGTGTGTGTGTGTGTGTGTGTGCGTGTGCGTGTGCGTGTGCATGTGTGTGTGTGTGTGTGCGTGCGTGCGTGCGTGCGTGTGTGTGTTTGTAGGAAAGTTGATGGTACGCTCCTCTTGCATCACAGGGAGAGAAATATTTCTCCATGCACAATGAGAGGTTAACAGGTTTTAGGAAAGAGTGTTTGGCATAAAAGGGAAACGTTTCCCATGACTTCCCGTCTTTTGTCACAACAAGCAGCTGCCTGAATGAGTTTATACTACTTCATTTCAGCTTTTCGATGACAGTAAGAAAAAGTTATTGAAATACAGAAGTACACTTAGAGTTGAATCTGCATGCCTTTGGTTGCATTTACTTTGATTTTGCTATAAATCTGTTTTTCAAACTTTTATTGGGACTTTAGGATTCACTAATGGGTTGTTTTATTCCCGACAGAAGAAGCTGACAGCGGAGTGTGTGTTCAGGGAGCAGTTTGAGGAGAACTGGTACAATACCTACGCTTCAACTTTGTACAAGCACACAGATACGGGACGCTTCTACTATGTGGCTTTAAATAAGGACGGCTCGCCCAGGGAGGGCAACAGGACTAAAAAACATCAAAAACTCACCCACTTTTTACCAAGACCAGTGGAGATAGAGAAGATCCCTCAGGAATACAGAGACTTATTCCAGTACAGGTGACCAGCACTAATGCTAGGAGAACTGGTTCCAATTGGAGAAACGGAGGTAAAAGAAGAGGAGGGAGAGGCTGTTTTGGATATTTTGGACCTTGGACGGAACTGTTTACCCTCAACTCCCCCTGAGATCAGTGTGTTTACACCTAAGCCCACTGCAAAGCACGTTACAGCACTGACATAAACATCATGCAGGATCCTGGATGCTGCTTCTTTAGTGGACTTGTGACCTCAAAAAAAGAGGGAAAGTAGTCTTATAAAACCACTGAGGACATGGATGAAGGAGGCCTGTGTGTGATCAGGACGATAAATCAGGTGTCAAGTTTTCTCCATAACCACTTTTTATCTGAGGGAAATGCGTAAAAACTGAAGCAACTTGCAACGACAAGTGGAGTCATGGTTCTTGGCTTTTAATTAGCACTAAGCTGGAGTGGGAGTACAATGAATGACGAGAACACCGAGAAAAGATTTTTAGGAGCTCCAAAAGGTGGAAAGCACTGCAAATGTCACATTATGCTATTTTCATAGAAAATACACATCCATAATGACGTTAGGTGTAAAAAAAAAAAGAAAAAAGTTTTTTAAAAAAGGGCACATTCCAGGCACGCATTTTTTGAAGTAGAGGGGTCAGAAATGCACAAAATGTTTATGTGTCATGCTCGTTAGTGACATAGCCAGGAACTAAAAGAGTGAAGAGGCGTGGCGGAACTGGAGTTTAAACGTTTTTTTCCCAAACGAAAGATGGAAAAGGGGATGTTTAATCTCTTTAAAGAATGTGTAATAGATGATAGAGCACTTACTGCACATCCCCAGTCCCAGCTCATTCGGACTCCCACGTCATCATCAGAGTCTCATTCATCACATTGGAAGAGCAGCGTCTTGTAGGAATTGAATGCAAAACAAGATAAATCTTGGGACACAAGCACTTCTTTGACTGAAGTTGTAAAGAAGAATTGATGGGGTGTTTTTTTAAAGATGGTGACTTGTAATGTTCAGAGTGTCAGGAACATTATTAAAGATGCAAGCAGCTGAGGTGTACATATGGGTGATCCTATTTATGAGATGTACAATATATTTATTTTCTACATATTAAGTATAAATATAAATCTATATATTTATTTATTGCAAAGACTTTATTTTGTAATGAACTTGAAGTTATCTGGGCTGTAGATTCTACTGAAAATATACCAAAAAAATTACAACAAAACTACAATGAACATGACAATAAAATTGTCCTGCTTTCTAGAACTCTTTGTGAGAGACTATTTTTGCTTGGATAAACATCTTATGTACCAATTAAAACCAGATAAAGAATCTATGTGAATGTTGCATTTCTTTACTTTGGTCTTCGGTCATGATAGTCCAAAGGTCTTCAACTTTTGTCAGAACTTGAAATATCTCAACAACCTGTGGATGGTCTGCCAAGAAGTTCAGTATATATGTTCTTAGTCTTCAGAGGATTACTTTGAATGACTTCACATTTTATATGGTGCAAATATATTGTTGACTTTTGTGATTAAACTTAGCAATATCACACAAGAGGGAGTAATGTGCTGAATGTAAGGACTGCTGACAACATCTGGACCTGGAGTTGGATATTCCTTTTAAACAACAATTAAATGACCAGCATACATCAAGTAAAAAACTACTGATTATCATTTTTTGCTCCACCAATTCAACTAGTTGTTGCCAAGCAACCCAAACATTCTCTTGCACTCTTTCTACTTCTTTGTATCCATGATTAACAAAGACTAGCTACTTAGTTTTATTTTCAAAATATGTTTTAATTGATCATGCAGATAGTTAAATTCAAGTCTGTTCTGTGATTCAGGTACAAGCTAGGACAAATTCTGTCTGATGTAATGTTGACTTCAAGTATTCAGAATATCTGTGCATAGGAAGAGTGATACACATTGTGAGAAGTCCCAGTGATGTTGTACTTTATATCAGCACTCACAGAATGTCTCTTGTCAATTCAGAATACTTGGTCGGAATGAACTGCTGTATAATTTGGCTTTGCTTAATTAAAAGCTATAATATTATAATGCTGAATTAATTCAGGTAGAAAGATAAAGCAGACTTTCCCAGAGTTGAGTCCTGATAAATTCCCTTCCCAATTTGCCCTCATAAACCCTTAACCAAGGAACTTGCACAGACCCTCTCTGTCAGCCTACATCCACCGTACAAAATCAGATTCCTCGTGCAACTGAATCCCGACTCCTAATTGGCTTTGCACATCAGCATGGATTTAGAGCGGTGACTGGTCGTTCATTGCAGGGGCCTCACAGACTCCACTGTGGGGCAGTCCTTTTCAATGGACAGAAACAGCTGCCTGCTGCACAGAGAACCAGCAGGGACGCAAACCTGGAGTGGTGGTAATCTCGGGGTGAGAGGGGATGGGATCAACATTTCAACATCTGCAATAGTTGTAATGTTTCTCCACTGGCAGATATCTGTAAGCTGTGAGAGCAAGCTCCCCTGGGAGGAGAGAATGGAAAAGTCAAAGACATGCAGGGGAAAACCCTGGCAGACTAAGAAATGAAAACAATACCGGGAGAGGGAAAAAATAGATGAAAGATTGAGGGTAGAAGAGAATGGGACAAAAGGCACTTAGTGCTGTGGATGGGAAATAGAGGCATCTATAAAGATGTATCAGCAGTCTTTTTCCAGCTATACTCTGAATAGAGTGAATTCAACTTTGTTTTGTGATGAGATTTTTTTTTCTTAGAAAAATACCACTCCCAAGTATCATAACGAAACAGATACTGTATATAGATTACTATTTCCAAAAGACTCAAAATGACACTACCAGCATCACAGAAACACACTTACATTCATGTGATAACTTAGTTTGAGCTTGTAGAAAAAAGCTGTGACAAAAGTAATTTCCTTTTTTTCCCCTTATCTTTATGCTGAACTGGGTTTACCTAATTCTATGTTTGAGTTTATTTAAAGGTCTGATCTGTATAAATCAGCCATATTTTAGTCCCTGCTCTTAGGCTCTATCCAGGAGGCTTAAGGAACTGACAATGAACTACAACATGCTGGAGCATGAGTCAAGTCCAAGACTCATTTGACATCTCTACCATCATCTTCCCTCTACAATTCCACAAAGTGCTTTCTGCCTATTTTATTTACCCTAAAAATATCATTAATTGCACAAACCCTAAAAATTCTTCAGGCACGTTTTCTTACTTGTATAATTACTAATTTCTTTCAAACATTTCCCAAAAATTCAGTGAGAACAAAGGATATGTAAGTATCTGATAACCAAATGACTCAAACACAGATTTTTCACTCTTTTGGTCACTTTATTAAATGTCATATTAAATACTTATCAAGATAATAGCAGATCAGATTCATGGCAGATCATGGTGGTGTATTTGTTAACATAAGAACATTCTTAGAGGAGGGCCAAAAAGTGTCTCTACATTTATGAAATACACTTTGTGCAAACACAGGAGCCAACGTGAGACAGCAGGGGTCTCTTCATGAGAACTGTACATAATCCTCATGGATAACAGGTACACCAGAGTTTAGAAGAAAACATGTGCCAAGGTAGAATACAGTTGCTTTAGGGGCGTGCCTGGTGAGACTACAGGGTCCAGAAGGCATTTCTCATAAAGCAAAGGATGCAGATCAGCCAGGTATTACAAGATTAACAGTCCTTACTTTTCTATCAAATCCACCGAGACACACATTTTTTGAAAGAAAAGTAATGTGACAACTTGTGGGCCCTGGGGTGCCCCACTGAACTGTCTGTGCTTGTGAGACCCAGTTGCTCACCCAAGCTTGGGATCAACACAAGTGGAACATAAACAATGAACAGGACGCACAGCGCTATGCTAGACAACACGTGACAATGAGGATGATGTTACAAAAAGGTCATAGGAACCGGCAGGCAGTTTTGAACAACACAAGCATTCCATTACCATGTTCAGCAACAACTAATGTAAACAATTAAAAGCAGAATAGAAAATATTCTCAACAAATCTCAGATCTTTACAGTTTTTTTAAGAAACAAATATAAGGCCATATTTTTTCTTTTTCTTCGGTTTTTGTTGATTTATCAATTTCTTTTAACTCCAAAAAAGAGCAGGACTTTGCAGCACCATCAGCTGTCTGCTTTGCTAGATATTGGTGAAGGAATCTACCAGGGTTTATGATCCTGAAGAGCTTTACATAATAGAGTCCTGTCACCTGCCACTACACTGGTCCCACTCAGGTTCAATTAGTCATTTAAAACAGTATAAAAAACTGAGTTTGAATAATAACGAAATCCTCATTTAAGGGCAAAACAATACAATGCTTTAAAGCACTGGGGATAAAAGTCATCTTTAAATACATGAAAAATGAAGATGTAGAATTTGAATAACATTAAGGCTGTATATACATTTTTTTTCTGTTCTACTGGACTCCTAGTACACAGTCATTTTATACATTATATACCAGCGTCTCTCAGTGAACTACACAATAAAGAACTGAGAGTATATCCCCCCAGTGGACAGCAGCCTGGTTTCAAACTTCTCCACCCTCTGCCTGGGTGCACCAGTTTGCTTTGAACTCTGTGAGGCCTCACAGTGCGTTTTGTTACAGAGGACTGGACCTCGCTGGGTTTGAGCCACTGGGAGCCGACTAGCAGAGTGGTGTGGGTGGGCAAGGAAGTGTTCTTCTGACCTACAGGCCCTTGGAGGGCCCAGGATTCTTGCCCATGCCTTGGGGGGGGTTGAGGCCGTGAAGCTGCTGGTAAAGCCCCAGCAGGTCCATCTGGCTGAGCCCGCCGCCGCCTCCTCCCATCATGCCGTTCTGCAGGGCCAACTGGTTTAGGTAACTGGCCTGGTTGGCCATGGCCAGCTGCTGCTCCTGCACCTTCCTGTTGGTGATCAGCTTCTGCACGTACATCATCAGCTGAACAGACACAAACAGAGAGATGGTTGATTTTTGGCTTTGAGAATTATTGAAGAAAATACAAGCAAGTGATTGGTTCACCAAAAAAAAACTAATAATTAAAGAAATAATTAAACGGACTGATATAGAAAGACAATTTAAGAAAAGTTTGCATGCACTGCAAGACCCTAGTTAGTGCAAAACACTATTTTACAACAAACAGACACGGTAGTCCAATGTGTAGTTTTGAAGGCTCAACGTTCATATCAATAATCAGGTTTTAAACGCAAATATAAAACTGTTGCCTTTCTTTGGGCTAAGAGAATGTTTAATATGTCTGTTCTGAATGCATTAGTTCAACAGTCAGCTTGTGATTATTTAATATATTTTATTTGTTAATCTACTTTTAATAACATTAATGAAATATTACCATAGACAGGTAGGTGTTATTTATTTTGTCAATATGTCCAAATCACACACCTTCTACAGTTTAGTTAAAAGTAAATTGCTTAGTTTGCTGGTAAAATGTTGACAGTTGTTGAGGATTTGAACACAGAGCAGTTCTTACCGTCTGCTGCCGGGTGAGGACGTCTCTGTAGACGGCCTCTCTGCGCTTCACCTCAAGCTCAATGCTGGCCTGTCGACCCAGAGCGATAGACTGGACCTGACTCTCTGTGAGAGACGCGTTCTCCTTCCACTGTGGGATCATAGATCATAGAGCTCACATATTGGTATGCTTACCATCATCGAAACTGTCACAACTGCACTCTTGTTATTTGACACTCACCACTCTGGCGATGGTATCTTCCAATGACTCTCGGCAAAATGTCTTTAATGCGTTTGTTGCTTCAATGACTTTCTGTCTTCCCTGGTTTATAAGTTCCTGAAGACAAAGGAAGAAGATGTTAAACATGATGCATGGTGAGTTGTTTACTTATTCACCTGAAGAAAGTGATTCAAACCTGTGAGCATTCAGGGACAAACTAATGTTAGACTGGGATTAAAGCAAAAAATAACATTTCGACTGAAAATTCTCAACGTAGAAAATTGGTAGCAAATAACCAATTTGAAAAGATGTTTTCTGTCTAAGGAATAAAATGGACACATTTTTTATTTTTGAAAGCTTATGATCTAGGCTGACAGATATGACTGTTTCTTTATAACAAATGTGACTTAAGGTACAGTCAACACATGTTACTGTATGCTTATATACATTAACAGTCACAGAAGGTGTTTTGTAAAAGACTCTAAAGAAGTATGACAAGTAGTTGAATGTAGGGGGGTCTGGGGGGATTTCCCCCCCATGAGAAAAATGTAGCCAATCTAACATTTAAATGAAGCTTTTAAGAGCATTTTGAGATTAGACCATGAGAAATGGGGACCGTGTTTTGGACTAAACATGTTTGACCTTGCTTTCCACCACCGTTGCAT